GCAGCACGAATGGGTCGGCAAGACTGGAGTAGGACCAGGTTCTTACAGAATAAGAACAGCAGAATAATGATGGTGTACTTCGTGTGGTGAGTGTATAGAACCGGAGAACTGGTGACGAGGCATTACATGTCCTTAGCGGTGACAACGCATCTGCAATTTAATTCTTAATCGAGAATAGATGTAAATATCTAAGGGCCACAGCATCCACTTATCATCAGCTGGACTGTGTCCTAGTTTGTCACCCTTATTCTATAAAAAAACGACGTAAAATACAAGCCCTGCGACAGGCAGCAGCTTATATTTATGATTTTCATCAATAGACAGAATGTTTCAAGACGAAGGTATATTTCGGGTGTTTGTGAAACGCTCCCGAAAACGAAGACAGACGATAGTACTACCGATACCTTTGATGATGGGTCAGAAAGAAAATCGATCCCGAGGAAAAGAAAATCATCTTTTCACAACGCTTTATTAGCTTTATTCACGCTCCATCATGTTAGTACAGCTAAATGAAACGATAAAGAAAATCATGAAAATACTTAAACATAAAACCAGCAGTGTAGTTTAAATCAGCTGACTAGGGTCAATATCCGCGCGGACGCCGTATTCTTTTATCTAGCTCGTTACGAAACTGACGAAACAATGCATTAGGTATTACTACTCACTCTAACCTTCCCTTTCACACACGCGCTGCCGGCAGCGCACACATTTCAACCTTGCCAACATGTGGGGAATTCCCTAAATTGCGGGCAGTAGAGTTGGTTGGGTATTTTAAGGGGATTGGTATTATGCGGGTAAAACGTGGGTTTTTGAAAATCGATAGCCCGGGCCAAGTCAGAACCATTTTTCATGAAATATAAATACTTAACATTTTTATTAGGTTACTTATGAATATCGAATGACTCCCTTTTTTTTAATTATCATTTCATTTCTATTTTCTTGTACGCGCGTGTGTGTGTGTGTGTGTGTGTGTGTGTGTGTGTGTGTGTGTGTGTGTGTGTGTGTGTGTGTGCGTGCGTGCGTGCGTGCGTGCGTGCGTGCGTGCGTGTGTGTGTGTGTGTGTGTGTGTGAGTGTAGTGTTTATAATTGTGTAAGTCAGAACCCAATTAGGTACGTTCATTAATTTCAATATGATTTTTGTGGTAACGAAATGCTTGTTGCGTCAGAGTACAATTGATTGTCTAATAGTATTAAAAAATTACAACTATAACTTCTAAATTCCATATGAAGCCTAGTCGTAGGGATAACTAAACTTATAAAATTAAAGTATTTGAAAGGGACGAAGAGAGAACGAAGTGTGAAATATGGGTAAATCAGGAATGTCTAGAACAGGTAAATGAAATTGTATACTTCGGGAGTGCTTTTAGCCGGGATGGAAGATGTGATTTAGATGTGGACAGGCGTGTCGCTGCCGGGAACAAAGTCAATGGTGCCCTGACTGCGTTAGTCAAAAGGCAAGGCGTAGCGAAGAGTGCATGCCTTGCAATACATAACGCAGTGTTGGTACCGACTTTGTTATATGGCAGCGAAACCTGGGTATGCCAGAAGAAGCATAAAAGTAAGTTGAATGCAGTGGAGATGCGATCTCTTCGTAAAATGTGCGGCGTTACCATGGCCGACCAAAAGCGAAACAAAGAGATTCGCAATATGGCAGGTTTGAAAGATGACCTTATCACAAAAATTGATAAGGGCGTGCTTCGGTGGTTTGGGCACGTTGAGCGAATGAGTGAAGACCGAATGGTGAAGAAAATATATAGCGCGAAAGTTAATATTAAAAGGTGTCGAGGTAGACCGAGACTAACTTTCGAAGACCATGTGAGCAAATTGCTCTAAGAGGGTAGGGTCAAAAGTACTCGGATACTTAGACGTGCATGCATGAAGAAGATAATGAATCTGAAAGAAGCGAAAGAGGTTTGTAAGGATCGTGACACTTGGCGATCTGTTCTCTCTGGCTACCCCGTTAGGGATTGTGCGTGAATAAGTAAAATAAAATTAAAGTTGGCAATGTCGTAACGGTTTAACGATTTGTGAAAATGATCAGTGCTTACCGCAAGGACGTTAGGACGCACGCACTTAGCGGTAGGCATTTTGTTTTGGCGTGATTTGTTATTAATTTTAGTTTTTGAGTCAGTTCTGGACCACCACGTGCGCGTGAGCGACAGTCGTTTTTTTTTATAAAATTCTTGTTGTTATTACTTATTGTTACGTTTGGTGTTTCTTGTTGTGTTTTAATAATGCCCAACGCTTTCGTTTATAGTGCTCGTGAATACGGCAACACGTTAATGTGCCTTGGAGAATCTCATAATGGCATGTCATGTCATGGAAGATTTAGATCGGTAAGCTGTTTCATACCAATTTTTTTTTAAATAACTTAGTACTGAACTGATCTGAAAAGGTACATAACTGAATACTTCAGAATAATAAACATTTCTACGCGATGGATAAAAAAGCATGACTCTATCCTTGTTAACATTTCATAAGTAAATTTTTCATTTTAGCGGGGAATCGAACCAGGTATTTGGTTTATTTAACCTGTGAATTCGGATAATGTGGCTAGGTGGAGACAAGCACAGTGGCAAAATAGTAGGTTAAGTAGATAAGTTAGGTATTTAGACACGTGTTGTATATTATTAGGTACTGGTAAGATCGCTAGCTGCGGGCGGCGCACATTCGGCGTCCGCGCGGATATTGACTCTAGTCAGCTGATTTGAATTACACTGCTGGTTTTGTGTTTAAGTATTTTCATTATTTTTTTTTATGAAATTATCGTTTCATTTAGCTGTATTAATATGATGGACCCATCTTTCCGACCCATCAAAGGTATCGTTAGTACTATCGGTCACGCCCCATAGAAAAAAACCCAGACCCGACAGAAACGAGACATATCTCAGTTTTTTTTGTTATTTATTATATAGTTAAATTATATATTTTTTATATTCGATATCAATGACTAACACCAAAATATTGCATTATGTTTTTGTTCAGGCGTTACTCTAAAAAAAATACAAAAGCCTATTTATCTACAAAATTCGTATATGCATGTAACTAAATGACGATACAATAGTTATGGGATGTATCTAAGTGACCTTTATCCGAACGTTAAATGTGAATAGCGTTTATTAGTTTCGGTGCGAGAAGTTATCGAATCCGAGTCGATTTCGCTTTCCGAGACGATTGTGAATAGCCCGGCAGGAGCACATAACTACAAAGGATATTTAAACAACAACGAATGTACGAAGAGACATTTATTCGTGACATGTAAAGTATCACATAAATAAAATAAAAAAAGTAAGTAAGATTACAGTAGTAAAAGCTCTTATAAATATGAATTGGTATTCGGACATTTTGATGAAACTTAATTAATAGAATCAGGCATTACTTTGCGAATATCCATTCTATTAAAGATCTTTAAAATTTGTTTGCTAAGATCAGCTTAATAGAATAAAATGATGTGTCTTACCTAGTATGAAGAGCACCTCCCGCCCTCCCACAATTGCATGCACTATCCCCGTCACCACTACACTAGGAAAGACACACCACCGTCGATAATACGGAACACGTGTTCCGCCTCTACACGAAGCATGGATTTATACTTTGACATCGTTATTTATGTACTACGTACTAGATTTCGCATTCCGAACATACACTATGTTCAACTGAACTGTACTGCAATCCGTACAGTGTGTCATTTAGTGTGGTTTCAATCTACTAGTTAGTCTGTGGTTTCAATATACATGCAGTGCGAAGCGGCGCTAATAATACAAGATTTTAATTAAAGTTTAAATTAAAAACTGACCGCGCAGGCACAACGCGCTTAAATCAACTGCCCATGTGTAATGTACTATCTCCCGCGCATTCGCGAAGACATAGAGTAGCGCACATTTTTTGTTTAGAATGGATTCTCTAGTACGTAGTACATATAACGCAATGTACTTTGACAAAAGGGGAACGTCTGCAAATGGCTACTCCCCTCCGGTGCACCGATGGCCCGTGTTGCTCTAACCGACAATTTCATAAATAGACTTATTATAACTGCTGACAACAAAGCTAAACATTGAATATATTGCTTGTAAAGTGGATTACGGCGATTAAGGAAGAAATTAGAATTGTAACGGATACATTCACACGCCAAAAACCGAATATTCTGAGGACTTCCTGGCCGAATATTACGTAAAAGTATTCGGCCGGGAAGGAAGTTGTTTATTCTTCAGAGCGTCTATTCTTTGCAGGTGGGATTGTCTGCGAGAAGAAAAGGAGTAAACTACTGCCTAAAAATGCAGAAAATTGTTTTCTTTCTGCACCATAATCTTCCACTTTCATGACTAATTCGAGTGCATAGACATTTATCTGATAGTCTTTTTTTCCATGTTCACCGCTGGCATATTCCTATTTAAAAAAAAATGTTTTCAGTAGTGTCATTATCTAGGGAGAAAACAAAGGTATATGTTATTCGAACTAACCGCCCGTATGTCGTCCTGAATACTGCATCATTACATCGATTATGGCTAAGAAGTTACCTTATTGAGACCGAAATTTTAATTTGTTCGACGACTACGGAGACCAAACGAGATCAACAGATATGTTGTACATATATATCCATATTAAGCTGTATCATTTGTTCGAAAACAGTAGCGACCGAAACCAAGGTCTTGGTCAAACCAAAATAACTCTGCTGAGATTCAGGTACCAAGCATCTACCTGTAAAAATAGATCGAAAATAGTACTGATCAAGGCCGAAATCTCGGTATAGTAACGTTCTTAGTATCTTATATAATCTAGTACAACTGAGATTGAAACCAAGATTGGGTCAGACTGCTTTAAATCCTGAGTAATGGGAACAAATGCGAACTCAATCAATTAAAAATGCATTCGGTATTATCTCGAAGAGTCTGTCACCATGAGACTACATCAAGTATGGATGGTGGGTATTTCTAAAAAAAAAGGAGAGGACTTTGCCTCGGGCGTCCTTACTAAATATAAAAGTCTTGTAATTGAGTAGATCACTGATGGCCAGCGTAAGGGTTGTCATACGGCATCACTGGCTGTTGGACCACTTTGTGCATCCTCGCATAGTGTGCTCTCATGATTTTCTTTGTAGTGAATGCTTTGTCACAAGCCTCACACTTGAAGTTCTTCTCCCCGCTATGCTTGTACATGTGGTTCTTTAATCGGTTACTGTTGAAAGCTTTCCACCCACAAACGCCGCAAACATGATTCCTCACTTTCAGATGCGTATCCCGCAGGTGCGTCATCATCATACTCCTGAACACGAAGGTCTTCGGACAGTGCAGGCACTTGACTTCTTGTTTATTCTTATGTTCGGCGGCCATATGTCGGGATCTCTTGTAGTGGCTCTGGAACGTCTGGGTACACACCAAGCATTTGTATTTTTTGTCCAAATCGTGCTGGTTCTTCTGGTGGGTCTTTAGCTTCGAGCGCGTTTCAAACTTAACCCCGCATTCGGGACACAGGACCCCGGTGTTTTCGTGAACCGATTTAACGTGCAACCTCAAGAGGTTTGCATCTTTGAAGTTTTGCCCGCACACCTCGCAGAGGATCGCCGATATGCCCTTATGGTCCTTGTTGGTGTGATGCAAAAGTGGTCCAAATGTGTAGAAGCTAGCACCACACGCGAGGCAGTTCACTGCGAAGTTGTCCAACTTGAACGCCACCATACACACACCAATGTCCTTGTTGTACACAACACCATGCTTCTCTACTAGATGGTCGATTAGGTCGTATAAATCATTTATTTTCTCTGGACACATTTTACATGCCATATTTGAAATGTCAACGTAAACAACCTGTTCCCAGTAGTTATTCATCGCTTGCTCTTTAAGGTTGTCCCCAATATGTATCTGTTGATGATCCTTCAGTTCAGAAGACTCTTGGAAAATATCATAGCAATAGAAACATCTGTAAGAGCTCTTAAGCCATCGAAACGGCATCACGGTCGACTTCAATAGCACTTGGAGCACGTTGTTCCTCATTATTTTCAGTCGTCCTTTCGAAGTCAGTGCCACTTTCGGCTTTGTGGTCATTTCTGCAATTGGAATCGCTTCTTCTTCGCCGATTGGTGGGTCAATATTGTCGCTCGGCTGTTTCGCAGTTTTCTGACCACCTCTAGGTTCTCCTGGAAGGAAAACTTTCGTTTATTCTTCACATACAATCACTCCTCTAAAACGTACCGCTCAAAGAAAGATCGCGGTGGGGACATTTTAGAGGCGCGCCTCCTATGCGTTTTCCTTAGGATCATATACGCGCTCACTGATATAATTAGGGGCGGAGTCGGGTCGCGGGTGCTGTGTACACTCGCGCAATTGCATTACTGCGTGTTTAACTGCGGCCCGACTTCGCCCAGACTTCGCAGTGGGCTTCTTTCTAAAGGTGATCAGAAAATTGTGCGAGTAGCAACCTTTTACAATATGCATTTACAAATTACGAATTTCAAACATTTCATAATATTCATCATTCATTCCTATTTCTTTCTACCCAATTAAGAATTTAGAATACCAGGTTAATGCTACTGTGTTTTGTATGGAACGTAGAGAACTGGGGACCCAATTTAATGGCAATGGGGCATTCCATCTTAGTCCTCAGAGGTGACAACTGACAACGCATCTGCATTTTGATTGTTAATCGAAGATAAATGTAGATGTCTGTGGGCCACAGCATCCACTTACCATCAGGTGAACTGTGTGCTCGTTTGTCACCCTTATTCTTTAAATCGTTTCATAATTCCTATTTCTCTCTATCCAATTGAGGGTGACAACGAGCTAATTAACCGATTCGTTGCGGCACCAATTTTCGACAACTTTTAGCTGTGGCGGCGAACAAATATTTCATGACACGCCGGGCGTGTCAATCGCCATGTGTAAAAGTAATGTTCTTTTTTTATGCTCTTTTTACTTGTTTAGACCTAATTAAGTTTATTTGACATCAAACAAGTTACAAGTGGAAGGATACTTGTTTTTAGTGGGTAACTACGTGTTTTTTACGCGTTTTCTTTGAAATTGAGAGTAAGTGACTTTTTTATGAGGAGATTACAAACCTTTTGTACTATTTTTTGTTTTTATAAAAAAATCATTTATATAAGTAGGTACAGCTAAATCACCCTGGAAACGTTGGTTTTTATTAAATTAAATTTTCACCTAATAATAACATTTGTAAATATCAAACAATGAAGACCCTTAATTTGAAAAAAAAAGGTATATCATTCATTGATATTTACAAATGTAAAATATTATTTAATGTTATACAAATGTAAAAGTAAAGTCGATCTGAAAACGTCTAATTAGTAAGAATAGCAAAACAAGTGTTTTCAAAAAGAAAAAAACGCCGGCACTATACGGCGGCGGATTGACAAAAGACTATTTATTAGCGAACTTTTTTTATGCATGAACGGTTTCGAACTGTTTCAAGCAAAAATAAACCTTATACCATATCACAAGAGCACATGGTACTTCGTAGGTCTATTCGGCCATATGATAGTAATAAGACGGCAGTTCAACCATTTTAAGCAAAATTAAACAATAAGACAAACGCATTGTTTTTTTTAACAGCAGACTTGTTTTCCAGAAATTTATTTACAACTTGAGTTTGTGAGCGATCGCAATGAGTGCTATTATTTGTTACTTATTAGACTATTTTTTCACAACATGATTGAAAACCCACAAAGTAAAAAGAGTACCATGTACAAGTTAAAAAAAGGTTGTCAACCCCTAAAAATTTCAAATATTCAAAATATCCAGAAACGAAGCCGCAGGCATGAACTACTTGCAAAATAATGAATATTTTGTTCTGGATAAATTTTCCAAAAAAGCAATTTGAGCGAGTTATAACTACAATAACTAACAGTTATAACAACAAAAACGAACTAAAATAATATTTTTAAAAAGACACGCCTGGCGTGCCACCCGCACTGAACCGGTTAATGATAAGAATGCTGTGGAACATATACACGACGGGCATGGAGATGCGTTGTCATCCCTGAGAACAAGATGGAATGCCTCGTTTAGTAAAAAGGGTATTTGGTTCATGTATAGAATTTAAAAGGTAGTTTATGGATGCTCACAGATATCTTGAGGTAAATGGAACACTGCTGGAAACCAGCGCTTTCCCGCTACCTCCTCGAATTTTTCCCGTAGTGTAGATTCATGGTTCATGAATCACGCGTTGTGTACACGTTGGTGCGAGGTACACAGCTAAGGGATAAACCCTTAGATATGCTCTTACTCTTGAGAATGAAAAATCTCAAGACAAAAAGATCTCATACTTTCCGATAGATGGCGTATATAATCAGTACGGTGAAACTCCACCTGCCAAGTCTGACGAGTAACGTAAATCCTATAACGGGAGAGGTCTATGTACAGCAACAAAGCACTTCTATGTATACTAATAGATTACAGTAAGAATCCTTTACGCCCTAAGTTACGGTCAATTCTCTGTAACTTCTTTAGTCGACTGCGAACGGCCGAGAACAATACTTCTTTGTTTTGTTAGTCGCAAACGTTTGCTTTTGACAATCCAACACTGATGTGACCAAGTAAACGCTGTTATGTATGTGCGCACCATAGTCAACGTGCTTTAAAGTTTATTTCAGATAATTATGTAACTTTATTTATTATTTTAAAATATAATTCAAAATATAATTCCACTTACCACTCAACATGTGTGTCTGTGTTTATAATTGGTACCGACATTGCAACGCATGGAAAAATAATGTGTGCATTATCTAATATTAAAGGGCACGACGACCTTTTTCACCATCAATTTTTTGACTGCCTTATTGGTCTAGCGGTCGTAAGCGTGATGCTAATCATGTGGTCCTAGGTTCGATTCCGGATCGGATCGAAATCAGTTATTAAGATATTTTTGTAAAGAAATTCTCTGTAGCAGGTAGGAAGTTGAACGGTGTTTTACCCTCGTGTCACGAAAAGAACGTAAAGCCTTTTGTCCTGCTCCTGATTTCTTTCCGATCGTGTCTGCCGTCCCATCAACCCTTAAGATAGTGAAATATATTACTATATATGCAAGGTCTTCTCACCCCCTTTTGCCAATCCACCTCACTTAGCATCGTATTATTTCAATAGGCACTTCATTTGCTCTAAGCGGAGGGACTTACGTACCTGTTGTACTTAACGCTGTTTTGTTTAATCTCAATGCTTAATTTTTATTGCAAAGTAAGTTTTTATATTTATGGTGTTTACGAAACGCCTTACTAAAGGGGGTAATATAAATAATTACAAAAACAATCATATAAATAACTTTAATGAAGAATTGTACAGCCGCCACAGAAAAATCTGCTATGTTCTTTGTCAATTTTACGTGGACTAGTGACAAAAGCAAAACCTCGTATTAAAGATGAAAAATTTTGACGTGAGTTTCTGTAATAAGTAATCTCAATATATATACTACTATTAGTTAAAGCTAAAATGAAGGTAGTTTAAAATCTGGTATTTAAGAGTATTATTGATATTATCTTCATTGGGCTAGAGCAAAAATGAAAATGCAACACGTGTTGTCGAATTTAAACGATAAGACAATATCCGGTCTTACTCATAAAAATCGACGACAAAATTTTTTTGAAGATACTATCTCTCTCTTTCTTTCTATCTCTCTCTTGTCACTGAATGACAATAGAAAGAAACAAGTATAGAAATAAATAATGTTTCAATTATGTAAGCAATTATGAACGATTATAACTAGAGCCGATCATTTATATTGTTCGTAGTAATGAGATTCCTTTTCGTGTGCGTTTAAAGTATCAAAATCAGCAAATCCATGTCTACACCATCGGCATACGCGTCCAAAATGGCCCGTGTGCACTTTCATATGCGCTCGCAGGTTACTCGATCTTCCAAAGCGTCTCTCGCATATGCTGCATTTGTAATTTTTCTCCCCGAAATGCTTCCGTTTGTGTAACTTTAACATCCATTTGATCCCGGTTCTATATTCACAGAGATCACATTCATATCTGGCATCCGAGTGTAGAGACTGCACGTGTAGTAGCATCGCCCCTTTTGTCGTACAGATTTTTGGGCAGTGTTCACATTGTATCCTATATTTCTCCACGTTATGCACTTTGCCCATATGTACTTTAACTTGGTACGGAGTAGCAAAAGTCGCACTGCATAAACTGCATCCATGTGATCGCACTTGCCCGTGTATTCGCTGCTTGTGTTTGTCCAATTTGTGGAACGCGTCGAATATTTTCCCGCACACCTTACACCTGTATCCGTTATGACTGTTATTGATATGCCTCTTCAGTCTGACTTGGTCGATGAAGCTAAGGCCGCAAATCTGACAAATATATCTGTGCTCGATGTGCTTCTTGAACATGTGCGCGAGGATGCAGGTGAAGTTGTCGTATTCACCATCGCAGAGAACGCACTGCATCAACTGTTTGTTAAGGACGAACGGGAAAACGCACACTCCGTTCGATCCGTCGTATTCTTGGTCGTGTTGAGAAACGATATGTGCGATCAACTCGTCCACATTACTTACGTCAGCAGAACATACTTTGCAAGCGATTTCAGCCACATCTATTTTCACCGGTACATCTTTAGAAATTACTCTTTGTGGAATAAACTTTTCTAGATCGATCGACTTATGGTTGATGGTGTGTTCTTTTAACATATCGCAGTCTTTCATGTGCTTGCCGCAGTAGAAGCACTTAAAGCCTCTAGAATTCCAATGGAAAGGGACCACATTGCCAAAGTGCAGTAACTGTATTATGTTCCTTCTGATGCTGTTCAAACGTTCGAGATACGTCTCGTGTTCTTGGCGCTTGATCTTTGCCCCTGCAAAGATATTTCGATCGTTTACGCCAGTTGACATTTTGATTTCAATACCGAATGGTGTTTTTCTAATTACAATCAATAAATAAAAATATTGTCGTAGAATCAAAAACAAAAAAGGAAATAAAGAATCAATTGAATCATTCAATTTTTGGCGTGATGTGTCTACTTCCCCCCCCCCCCCCCCCCCCACCCCCCAACGTAGTAGTAGAGCCTGTTAGCTAAAGAACAGAGTTCTGTGGTGATCGGTGACAAATTTCAACTAATCTAATATATCAAAACCAAATTCTAGAACTGGTAATGACAGCTTTAGTTGAATTGACCCGTGCGTTTACCCGAGAAGTCACTGGTAAAGGAACGTTTTGGAGTGCCTTGTAGCTACCATGGTTTGGAGAAGGACTCAGTTGTTTGACGTATTAATGTCATATTATAGCTAACTTGATTTACAATCTCGGATTAGGTACATCAGAAATTACAATCAGGTGCATTAGATTAGTCAATAAGTGGAAATGTAGTCAAACACTGAAACAAATTTCCCGCCTAGTCACCCTAAAAGCCGATTTACACTTCAACAAGTACAGTAGCGAGTTAACTTGCAAACCTGACCAGTTAAGTAAAAATGTCGTTTGAACGGCAATTAGTGAGTTAAGTAACAAATTAACACTTAAGTTGAACTGGATAGCCGGTCGGGCTTCTTTTCAGCGAGTTAAGTTCGAAGTGTTGCCTTCCCACTCGTCTCCCGCCACCCGCAACTAAACTCACCGCTCGTGTGAACGAAGGGGGTTTAGTTCAGTGTATAAGTTAACAGGACGGAACGTGTTCGCGTTCGACCCTCAAAATATAAAAATATACTTTTTAATTAAACTCGCCACGAAGACGTTTGAATGCTACTGCCCACTTAACCGTTTACTGTCAACTGTCCTGTAACTAAACCCGCTACTGTACTTGTCGAAGTGTAAATCGGCCATTACGTAGAAAATCTGGTTTGAACGACAATCAGTGAGTTAAATAGCAAACTAAGAATTAAGTTAAACGGGATAGCCGGCCGGTCTGTATATCGGCGAGTCAAGTTCGAAGTGTTGCCCTCCTGCGCAACTAAACTGAGTAAAGTCGCCGCTCGTGTGAACGGACGAATTACGCTCAAGTGCATAAGTTGACAGAACGCAAAATATATAATTGTACTTTTTTAAACTAAACTAAACTCGCCACGAAGACATTTGAGCGCTACTGCCCACTTAACCGTTTACTGTCAACTGTCCTATAACAAAAGTTGCTACTGTATTTGTCGAAGTGTAAATCAGCCTTTAGGCCTGCTCTGAAGGCTGAGAATGGGCAGCGGCATTGTCAGTGCGAGAGTACATTTTCAATATAGCAAAGTAATTAGGAGAATTGAAAAGGCCAATTTGAAAGTTTTCTTCTTAATACCAATGTAAGTGACTATAAATTAGGGTGTTTTACTAGATGGTATGAGGGTATGAGCGTCTTTTCTCTCTATGAGGTTCCAGTATGTTTCCGAAGGAAAAGAAAGGCTAGAAATGAAAGAACATAATCTGCCAGGTTATCTATTTTAAACTTTTTTTATATTTGATAAGAGTAACAAGCAAGCACACAGTCCACCTCATTGTATGTGGTCGCTGTGGCCCATAGACCATCTATATCTATCCTCGATTACTGAGGACTAAGATGGAATTCCTTGTTTCCAGTTTAAACATTCTCCGGTTCTCTACACTCACCAAACGAAACACAGCAGCGTTAATATGCTATTTTATGCCGGTATTCTGTACGAGCGTGGCCCTTCCCCGGTCGAGCGGACCTACAACTATACTATACTGACATAGCTGCAGCATGACTTTACCACGTAAAAAAACCTCCTCAGGTTAACCGGTAAACCTCAGGAGTGGCAGCTCACTTTGTCAATCTTTGTTTGATTTTGGTTGCAGATGTCTTATAGGAATGCAGACACCATTTTTTTTTATAGAATAAGGGTGACAAACGAGCACATAGTCCACCTGATGGTAAGTGGTTGCTGTGGCCCATAGACGTAGCGTTGTCACCCGTGACGACTAAGATGGTATGCCTCGTTTCCAGTAAAAAAGGGTATCCGGTTCTCCACACTCATCATACGAAACAGCAGCGTTATGCTGCTATTTTACGCTGGTATTCTGTGAAAGCGTGGTCCTTCGCCGAGCCGACCCATTCGTGCTACAACTATACTACTAATATAGCTGCAGCATGGCTCTACCACGAAATAAGTATTATTTTAAATGACGCTTTGTATTAATAGACGCTAGTACTTCATTTATTTGTATTTGTTAAACAATAATAATATAATACGTTTATAAGATATATAAGAAAGATCTTACAGACTAGGTTCTAACCTAGTCTGTAAAATCTTTCTTATTTATTCACAATATAAAGGTTACTGCTTATATACGTCCGACAGCTGGGCACAGACCTCATCTCCCTAAAACCCTCTCCCTGGGTTTTAGGACAAGGAAATGTCCGCGGATATCCTCATTCATCACGCAGAGAAACCCCGCAACAGGCACACATAAAGCTTATAGTTGCATTGGTTTAACTTAAGATTTTTTTTTAATTTCTGTAGTTTTGATTAGTCTGTTATCTATTGTAACATGTGTTGGTGTTTGTTTGAATAAATAATCTTTATTACTAAGGAAACTTGCTCTATTACTTTATTACACTTCAAAGTGACGGCATTGGACGACTTATGAGGAACTTGTATCGCCGAGATCATATACAAGTTCGCCGTATAGTGGCGAGGTAAGAGCATCCACCACCATATCCACCCGTGAATGTCGTAAGTGGCGACAGAGGGAAACTGAAACAGGAGATGGTGGACAGCAGTATCTTCATCATCAATTTAGGTGAAATCCCCCTTTGAGGTAATCTACGGGAGAGACATACGTTCGGCTATGGATTTTTGAGGTTGTGATAGAATAGATAGATAAAATCATCCGCAGTCCACAGTTGGACATGGGTCTCGCCATTTGTAAAATTTCACAACACAAAGGTGCTCCCGTCGGAAGTGTGGGTATTCAATGATAGTTGGAACGATACAAAGATAGTTTAAGTTAGAACTATGTCTAATCTTTTAAATATTATTAAAATTATATACAACTAATATAGTTTTTGGGAGACAGTTTTCATTTTAGACCTGACGACAAACTGCAATTCTAGATAGATTTTTACAACGATGTATTTTAAACAATTACACGTATTGTAGCAGCTTTAATGTATGTATTCTCCGGTTAACTCGGCTCCCTCTAATTCGTCTCTGACAAACTCCATTTGCACAATTTCGCCCCCATCTAATTCATCGATGATGTTTACATTTTGCTCTGTATTTTTAGCCTCGTCTTGCGGATGCCTTGTTTTGTAATGCATCTTTAGATTAGGTTGGTGCGCGAACGCTTTATTGCACACGTTGCACGTATAATTCTTTCTGCCAGTATGTATAACCGAATGGGTGTTCAAATTGTTCTTTTTGGAAAACTTTTTCCCGCATACCGCACAAACGAATTTCTTGTCGCCATTATGTTTAAGCATATGCAATTTTACGTCATAAGGACCGAAGAATCGGTCTCCGCAAATTTCGCATTCAACGTTCTTCTCTCTCAGATGTACCCGTCTCATATGACGGGACATAATACTCTCCTGTGGATAGACTTTCGGGCAATAAGGACATTTGATTTTCAACTCTTCGACACCGTGCACGTTTGCTAGATGCAACTTTTTGAAGTACGGACTCTTGAATGTCTCCGGGCAATGGGGGCACGTTGATAAATTGACCATGTGAACGTTCTTCTCGTGGAGTATCTTTTTGGATAATGTGGCTAGAGTAATACCACAATGTTCGCAAGTGTACCCCCCTTCTCTATGGTAATAACGATTGTGCATTTTCAGGTGATTCTCCCCTTGGAAGCTGGTACCACAGACATCACAAATATAGTCGTGTGAAAGGTGATGCTTATTGGAATGCCGGAGCAAATATTCAAAGAAGACGAATTTCATATTGCAAATTGGGCACGTTGGTTGCTCCTTGTCCAATTTGAAGGGTAGTAAACAGTTCGGCACACTGACGTCATATTCCGCGTCGTGCGCTATGATCAAGTGGTGTATAAGTTGCTCCAGATCGTTCACCGACTTTGAACACAACTTACAGGAGATTCTAGTGACGTCTATTTTAACTGCCGCGTCCCTGTTCCTGTTGTTTTTAGTCCTATCGTAAACGACTAGTTCTAGGTTTGCGAACTGATGAACTTTGGCGGTGTGCTCCCTCAACAAGTCGGGATCTTTCATTGGCTCTGAGCAATAGAAACACCTGTACCTGCCCTTATACCACATAAAAGGCGTAACATTGCCGTATTGTAAAACGTATTCCACATTACGCCTCTTAATCAATAACTTACGCGCCATTTCAGTTTTCTTATATTTGTCCTCCACTGTGCTCAATTTTGCACCTGGAAAGAAATTTTCGTCTTTACTTTCTTTAGATTTATTTCCCTCCAATTTTTCTTTTTTTTTTCCACTCCGTTAGTTAAATTTACAATCAAAATAATGTTAGTGTCGAAACAGATTTTATTTTTTATTTATCAAATTTTATAAGGATGGAAATGATACAAAAATAATAATTCACACATATATTTTTATACAATTTCTTTACGTAAATCGGAACGCAATCAAAATATACATAACTAATAAAGTATTTTAAATAATACAAATATTTAGCGAACTTAGCTTATGTCATGTTCTAGGAATCAGATCTTCACAGATTAAAGTATTACTTATGATATTATATACACTATCTGTGTATTAGTAGTTTCTAAAAAAATGTAAACTTATGTTTATATTATGTAGGTTTATTTAAATACGAGTATCCTTACATTGAGATTTTTTCGATATACAAAATTCGCCCTTACATCTCAGACTAATAAAATATAGTATTGCATTATTTTTAGGTTTTTAAGACTATAGATTCCATGATCTATCAAAAGTAGGTCAAGTAATAAAATTACAGTCCATCCCACAATTGCACACAAGCCTTCTCTCACAAGAGTTTCATGTCAAAAAGTTGTAAGAATAAGAAGGAAGTAAATGGACATCATCTAATGTTATCTGTATGCCATCAAAATTTATGAAAAAATTGTCTATGTTGTCAGAGATAAAAACGTCCAAATGTACATACAGTTGCTCACTAAATCGTTAAACCTAGCGATTACAATATTTCCTTACGATATACTAGAAAAAAACTTGCATCCAACGTACATAAATTAACATGTTTATATTTATAAAATTTGTGGACACAAACGAGTTTGCAATAACTGATTTTTTTACTTATTATAAGCCAGTGCTTGACCACCATCTCAACTGGTGGTAAGTGGTGATGTAGCCCTAGATGATAAATAGCACTGTCTTAGCGCAACAAAAGCCTATTCACTCTTGCCTTGAAGACGCCCAGATTGTATTCGGACGGAAGAGAGACTGGCAATAAATATTCCACTCCTTTACTGTACGCATTACAAAAGATGAAGCAAACCGTTTGGTTGATGAAGGGGTGAAGACCCGCCGACCGTCTGGTTGTTCGATGATGGAAAGGAGAGGGAGAAATTAAAGCGTGTAAAGCATGTAAACCAATAAAGTGATCATTTCTTTTTATTAATTACGAACCTATTTAAAGTTGTTTACCATTGCGGTTTAGTGTAGAGATCTTAAACGCGATTTCTGATCATGAGGTCCCGGTTCGTATCCCGTGTCGGACCAAAAAACGGGCCATTGAGTTTTTCTGTCGAGAAATTGTCATGAGCAGCCCGGGGTCAGAAAGTGGAGCGATGTATAACGCCTTGCCTCGGAAAGTTCTGCGCCTGATCTCTCTACGGTTGTGTCAGACTGCCATCCCAACGACCTCCCTTGCCTCGGAAAGCGCGTAAAGCAGTTGGTTCTGCGCCTGATCTCTCTCCGGTTGTGTCAGATTGCCGTTGCAACGAACTCCTTTGCCTCGGAAAGCGCGTAAAGCCGTTGGACCCTTGCCTGATCTCTCTCCGGTTGTGTCAAATTGACATTCCAATGATCTCACTTGCCTCGGGAAAGCACGTAAAGCAGTTGGTTCTGCGCCTGATCTCTCTCCGGTTGTGTCAGATTGCCGTTGCAACGAACTCCTTTGCCTCGGAAAGCGCGTAAAGCCGTTGGACCCTTGCCTGATCTCTCTCCGGTTGTGTCAAATTGACATTCCAATGATCTCACTTGCCTCGGGAAAGCACGTAAAGCCGTTGGTCCTGCGACTGATCTCTATCCGGTTGTGTCAGATTGCCATTCTAACAAACTATGGGAATCAAGGAAATAGGTAAAAGGGTGGTACCTACCCACCTAGTAAACCGAATTACGGAACCTTAAAATGAACTACGCAAAGAACTAATAAAAGTGATATTGTTATTAAATAGTGTTCTTTAGTTTAACTTCAATGACCAATTTTAAGGATTTTATAGCGTCTAATATAAGTATTTCATTTTTATTTTTACTAATTTTAGTTACCGACGTTTCGGGTGCTTTATAGCCCCTATGTCCCGATGTCATATTTTACTTATTTGTGTTATTATAATAAATCATTAAATTGGAAATTTCGAAGTGGAATTTGATTAATTTTTTCGTTTACTACTGTAAATGTCCTTACTTCTGATGCAGTTCCTTATGCTTACTGAGATTGCTCCTCCTAAGAAACGCTTTGCCGCAAACTTCACAGCTGAACTTCCGCTCGCCCTCGTGCTTCACCATATGCATTCTCAGCAGGTAGTTGTCGAAGAATCTCTCGTTACAGACCGAACAGATCACATTCTTCTCCTTCAGATGAGTCCTACGTATATGGTCCTTCATGAACGAGTTTCTAGTGAACATTTTCCCGCAGTACGTACACTTGTGACCGATGTCGTGGACTTTGATCAAATGTTTTTGCTTGTGGTACTCTGACCGGAAAAACTCTGGGCATTTCGGGCATTTGTAATCTTTCGCGTTGTGGCTTTTCGCTTTGTGCCGGCTCAAACACAACTGATTCTTGTACTTCGTGCCGCAAATATCACACTCGCAGGCGCCGGTATGTGCGTTAGTAATATGCACTTTTAGATTTGTTATGTCCTTAAAACTGCGGCCACAAAAATCGCAGATCCTGTTGTTACTATGCTCCGAGTTTATATGCCTAAGTAGGATACCAAAATATCTAAACACGCGATTTGGACAGATCGGGCACGGCATGTTGTCTTTTATCACCCTGTAAGGCTCTAGACAGCCTGTTACGGATTTGTCGTAGTTGGCGTCATGTTGTGAGACTAAGTGATCTATTAGAATGTCTAAATTGTCCATAGGCTGGCCGCAAATTTTACAGCTCAGTTCTGTTATATCTACTTTTACGGCTATTCTGTCTCCTTTACAATTTTTCATGCCCTTTGACTTTAAATCGCATACAGTATGTTCTAGTAAAGTGTGTTCCCTTAGTTCGTCAAATTCAACGAATTTCTTCGAGCAATAAAAACAGTAATATTTCGCGAAAAACTTAAACGGTAACGCTGTAGACATGTTCAGAACGCACTGAATATTCTGTCGTATTTGTAGGATGTTTTGTTTCTTTTTCAGTTGCAACATATTGTCGAAGAAACGGTTGTTATCTACAGGTTGATCTATTTGTACAAGCATATTAACTTTACACTTATTTATGTGTTGTTTTAAATCTTGAGACGAGTTGCATTGTTTGGAACAATGCGGACATTTGGCGCTGGCGTCATCTGGATGATCACATTGTAAATGTTTTAATAGCAGACTATAGGAAGCAAAGTTCATCCCGCAACGTTTACATTTCCTGAAATGGAAATCGGTTTGATGTTTACGAAGAAGACCATGAGATTCGAAGCTCTGTGGACATTCTGGACAGGAGTATCCTACTTGGCGATGGTTATGTCGTATATGCAACGCCAAATCGCTTTTCTTATTGAAACTCACACCGCAATCATTACAAACATAATTATTTTGCGGATGAACGTTGTTGACGTGATTCACCAAATATCCGAAGTAAGTAAACTGTTGGTCGCAAAATAGACAACGGAAATCCGCAAGTCTGTATTCTTGAAGAGGCGTGTCTATACTCTTATCGTAGTCCATGTTGTGTTTTCCAATTAAATGATCGATTATTTCGTCGAATGTAGTGAAAGGTTCATTGCAAATTTCACACGTGATATCCGCTACATCGATTTTAATTTCAATGTGATTTCTTTTTATCAGTCTCAACGAATAGTCTTTTGTGGTGTAAGGGCCGTGTATTTGGGTGTGTTTCCTTAAATCCGTATACTCCGTGTAACTCTTTCCACAATAGAAACAGAGGCACCTTCCTCGCCACTTGAACGGCAAAATAGTTGTGTTGTTGAATAGAATTTGCAAATTTTTCCTCCTCCTCTCGGAGGTACAGTTCTCGTACGGCCCTTGCGGAATTTCATCTGAAAAGAAATTACCTTTTCTATAATGTTCTTAAAATCAGCTCCCTTTGCTTTATTGCTTTTTCTAATTCGTCGTAAAATCTCGTTTGTGTGTTAGGGCTTTTAAACTGTGACATCATGTGACCTCTCAGGTTTTTCTTCCAAAGAAATTTCTTTCCACAAACATCGCAATGAAAATTTCGTTCCCCATAATGTTTCACCATATGCATTTTCAGGCGTTGCGCATCAAAAAACCTTTCGCGACACAAGGAACATTCGAAACTCTTCTTATTGATTTGGCGCAGTAAGACCATTTATGACCTGTTTGCTGCGAATTGATCAAATGCCTCTGCATGAAATAGCGCGACGTGAATCGCTCTTTGCACTCCAGATATTGTTCCACTTTGGTGCCGTGTGCTTTGCCCAAATGCGTTCACGAGTGATTATAAGAGATAAAAATTCAGAGTTGCAATGCTCACATCTAAACGCTGCTGGTCTGTGTCGCCGCGTTACGTGAGCACGAAGATTTGGATGGGACCTAAAGCCTTTACCGCAATAAGAGCAGACATTTTTGTTGTCCGTATGCGTAACACTAACATGTTTCAATAGCATCGCAAAATATCTATAGACCTCCCCGCAAATAGGACAAGCAAAGTTATCCTTCGTAAGTTTGTACGGCTGCAATTGGATATCAACAGTTTTATCTATATTAGCTTTGTGTTCTGTTGTTAGATGGTCTATTAAATGATTTAAATCAAAGCAAAGATTTATAGCAGACTTTGCAGGACAGTTTGGACGTATCAATTTTAATACGACCCTCTTCCCTATTTCGTAGTTTCATAGCTTTTATTCCGATATCACAGAGAGGATGCTCCATAACAGTGTGTTGCAAACAATAGAAACATCTAAATCTACTCAGATTTAAAAGGGATAGCTGTAGACATATTTAGGATGCAAGCTAAATTATTTCGTATTTGCTTAACTGAAGGTTTCTTTTCTTTGTCATCTACTAAAATGGGATTGGATATTTTAACGCCATCAACAACGCGTGTACAAGTTGTTGCGTGTTGCAGGAAACCCTGCTTTGTAGTCATAACTTTAAGGCAGAATCTACACTGTAAAGCATCAGAGACATGATCTACCTTCATATGTTTTAACCTTTTGTTTGCTGAAGAGAACTGTTTGATACAAATATTACACGAGGACGCGTGAGCGTTCATTTTATGAGTCTGTAGCTGTAGCTCAGCATTAGATTTTAACGAGATTTTATCGAGTTTAATTTAAGTATTTCATTTTTATTTTTACTAATTTTGATTAACGATGTTTCGGGTGCTTTACAGCACCTATGTATGTCCCGTTAAATTAGTATTATTTCATGTGCAGTATTCGTGTTATTATAAAAAATAATTAAATTGGAAATTTCGAAGTGGAATTTGCTTAATTTTTTAGTTTACGGCTGTAAATGTCCATACTTCTTATGCATTTCCTTGTGCGAACTGAGGTTGCTCCTCCTAAGAAACGCTTTGCCGCAAACTTCACAGCTGAACTTCCGCTCGCCCTCGTGCTTCACCATATGCATTCTCAGCAGGTAGTTGTCGAAGAATCTCTCGTTACAGACCGAACAGATCACATTCTTCTCCTTCAGATGCGTCCTACGTATATGGTCCTTCATGAACGAGTTTCTAGTGAACATTTTCCCGCAGTACGTACACTTGTGACCAATGTCGTGGACTTTGATCAAATGTTTTTGCTTGTGGTACTCTGACTGGAAACACTCTGGGCATTTCGGGCATTTGTAATCTTTCGCGTTGTGGCTTTTGGCTTTGTGCCGGTTCAAACACCACTGATTCTTGTACTTCGTGCCGCAAATGTCGCATTCGCAGGCGCCGGTGTGTGCGTAAGTAATATGCACCTTTAGATTTGTCACATTCTTAAAACTGCGGCCGCAAAAATCGCAGATTCTGTTGTTGTTACTGTGCTCCGAGTTTATATGTCTAAGTAGAATTCCAAAGTATCTGAACACGCGATTTGGGCAGATCGGGCACGGCATGTTGTCTTTTATCACCCTGTAAGGCTCTAGACAGCCCGTTACGGATTTGTCGTAGTTGGCGTCATGTTGTGAGACTAAGTGATCTATTAGAATGTCTAAATTATCCATAGGCTGGCCGCAAATTTTACAGCTCAGTTTTGTTATATCTACTTTTACGGTTATTCTATCTCCTTTACATTTCTTCAAGCTTTTTGATTTTAAATCGCATACAGGATGTTCTAGTAAAGTGTGTTCCCTTAGTTCGTCAAATTCAACGAATTTCTTCGAGCAATAAAAACAGTAATATTTCGCGAAAAACTTAAACGGTAACGCTGTAGACATGTTCAGAACGCACTGAATATTCTGTCGTATTTGTAAGACATTTTGTTTCTTTTTCGGTTGCAGCATATTGTCGACGGTAAGGTTATCTACAGGCTGATCTATTTGTACAAGCATATTAACTTTACACTTATTTATGTGTTGTTTTAAACCTTGAGACGAGTGGCATTGTTTGGAACAATGCGGACATTTGGCGCTGGCGTCATCTGGATGATCACATTGTAAATGTTTCAATAGTAGACTATAGGAAGCAAAGTTCATACCACAACGTTTACATTTCCTGAAATGGAAATCGTTTTGATGTTTACGAAGAAGGCCATGAGATTCGAAACTCTGTGGGCATTCTGGACAAGAGTATCCTCCTTGGCGATGGTTATGTCGTATATGCAACGCCAAATCTCTTTTCTTATTGAAACTCACACCGCAATCATTACAAACATAATTATTTTGCGGATGAACGTTGTTCACATGATTCACCAAATATCCGAAGTAAGTAAACTGTTGGTCGCAAAATAGACAACGGAAATCCGCAAGTCTGTATTCTTGAAGAGGCGTGTCTATACTTTTATCGTAGTCCATGTTGTGTTTTCCGATTAAATGATCGATTATTTCGTCGAATGTAGTGAAAGGTTCATTGCAAATTTCACACGTGATATCCGATACATCGATTTTAATTTCAATGTGATTTCCTTTTATTAGTTTCAATGAATAGTCTTTCGTGGTGCAAGGGCCGTGTGATTGGGTGTGTTTCCGCAAATCCGTATACTCCGTGTAACTCTTTCCGCAATAAAAACAGAGGCACCTTCCTCGCCACTTGAACGGCAAAATAGTTGTATTGTTGAAAAGAATTTGCAAGTTTTTCCTCCTTCTCTCAGAGGTACAGTTCTCGTACGGCCCTTGCGGAATTTCATCTGAAAAGAAATTATCCTTTCTATAATGTTCTTAAAATCAGCTCCCTTTATTTTATTGCTTTTTTAAATTCGTCGTAAAATCTCGTTTGTGTGTTAGGGCTTTTAAAGTGTGATATCATGTGACCTCTCAGGTTTTTCTTCCAAAGAAATTTCTTTCCACAAACATCGCAATGGAAATTCCGTTCCCCATAATGTTTTACCATGTGCATTTTTAAGCGTTGCGCATCAAAAAACCTTTCGCGACACAAGGAACATTCGACATTCTTCTCTTTAAAATGCGTCCGCCTTATATGATTAACCATAAATGAATTCCTAATGAATAATTTGCCGCAGTAAGAACATTTATGACCAGATTGATGCGAATTTATCAAATGCCTCTGCATGAAATAGCGCGACGTGAATCGCTCTTTGCACTCCAAACATTGCACCACTTTGGTGCCGTGTGCTTTGCCCAAATGCGTTCGCAGGTGATTATTAGAGATAAATTCCGAGTTGCAATGCTCACATCTAAACGCCGCGGCTCTGTGTCGCCGCGATACGTGAGCACGAAGATTTGGATGGGACCTAAAGCATTTACCGCAATAAGAGCAGACATTTTTGTTGTCCGTATGCGTAACACTAACATGTTTCAATAGCATCGCAAAATATCTATAGACCTCCCCGCATATAGGACAAGCAAAGTTATCCTTCGTAAGTTTGTACGGCTGCAATTGGTTATCAACAGTTTTATCTATATTAGCTTTGTGTTCTGTTGTTAGATGGTTTATTAAATGATTTAAATCGAGCAAAGCTTCATAGCAGACTTTGCAGGACAGTTTGGACGTATCAATTTTAATACGACCCTCTTCCCTATTCCGTAGTTTCATAGCCTTTAATCCGATATCACAGAGAGGATGCTCCATAACAGTGTGTTGCTTTAGATCATCGCAATCCGTGAAATCTTTGGAACAATAGAAACATCTAAATCTACTCATGTAATGTTTAAAAGGCATAGCTGTAGACATATTTAGGATGCAAGCTAAATCATTTCGTATTTGCTTAACTGAAGGTTTCTTTTCTTTGTCATCTACTAAAATGGGATCGGATATTCTAACGCCATCAACAATACGTGGACAAGTTGTTGCGTGTCGCAGGAAACCCTGCTTTGTAGTCATAACTTTAAGGCAGAATCCACACTGTAAAGCATCAGAGACATGATCTACCTTCATATGTTTTAACCTTTTGTTTGCTGAAGAGAACTGTCTGAAACAAATATTACACGAGGACGCGTGAGCGTTCATTTTATGAGTCTGTAGCTCGTAATTAGATTTGAACGTTATGGGACACTTTAAGCAAGTGTAATCTTTTTTATGATGAGATCTAATATGTGCATCTAAGTCCCGTCTTTTATTGAACTTCTGATCACATTCATGACATAACAAGCATTGATTCGGATGACAATTATTTACGTGAATCACTAATTTATTGAAGTAGCTAAATTGTTGATCACAAAGTAAACACTTGAGATCTGCGAGCCGGTATTTCGTTATTTCTAAACGCACCTTTCTATCATATGACAGTCCATGTTTAGTATACAAATGATCAACTATTTCATCAAAATTGTTAAACGTGTCTTCGCATAATTCACAAGCTATGTTCGATACATCGATTTTAACTTCAGCATCGCCAGCTTTAACGAGTTTAATCGCTCGATCAGTTTCAGAACACGAGCCGTGCGCTTTCGTATGCTTTCTTAGTTCCTCGTACTCTGGCAAATCCTCCCCGCAATAAAAACACATGTACTTCCCGCGCCATTTGAAAGGGATTAACGTTGTGTTATTAAATAAAATCTGAAGGTTTCTCCGCCTTAGTTTATTGCAACTGGGCGTCTTAGCTCGACCCTTTTTATCTGTAAATAAATTTTTCTCTCATGTAATAGGTATCCTTAGTATTATTGAATCAATGCCGTTGAGTACTTTCCTATTTCTACAAGTACGATTTAGGAGCAAATCAATGTCTTAAACATTGATTTTAAATATATAGCTTCATATTATCTAGCTCATGACATAACTGACTTTATTTTGCGGGCTTTTGACTCATTGGACGATGCCTCGTTTTAAGACGAGAATTGAGTATGGATATGTTATCGATGATGTTGTGTTTTCAAATATCGCGAATGTGAAGTATGCGGATATCAGGAAATTTACTTTTTTTTATTTTTAATATTATGCAATCAACGAAGGATAATGTATTAACATTGTACAATTATTGTGGTAAAACAAACCAATGGCAACACTTAAAAAAAGAAAATAAAACTTTTTTTTTTAATTGAAACCAATATTTTATATTCAAATAAATATAAATATTTTAACCATCAAAATTAATATGTGGAATGGAAAGACTTAATATGATAAAACATAATTTAAAAAAAAGTCACTCAATTAATTTAATACACATGTCCATATAATCTACGAAATATACATTAGATTCAACAAAAATAATTATGAGAATCTTGATTAACAAGCTGACATGGATCTGACAAGTTCATTGGCATATTACAGCATTTCTTTAAAAAAAAAGTTGGCTCAATCTGGTGGCGTTTAAATCTCTGTTTATATAGATTTCACACTGACCGGTGTATGTTTATTATGCGAGTTTATATGTACACGAAGGTTCTTCTTCCAGAAGAAACTTTTGCCACAGACGTCGCAGTGGAAATCTCTGGAACCGATATGTTTCACCATATGGAATTTAAGTTGTTCCTTATCGAAGAACTTTTTTTTGCAGACCGTACACTCGATCTCACGTTCCACCAGATGAATTCTACGAACGTGGTTCCTCATGAAGGAATCCTTAATGAACATCCTATCGCAGTGTGTACATCTATGACCGACGCCATGCATCGTCAGCAAATGTTTGTGCTTCCCGTAATCGGTCAAGAACTTCTCGTCACACATCGAGCACGAGAATTCTTTCGATCCATGCGCCCTAGCCTTGTGACTCTTCAGTTTAATCAACACTTTGAAACTGGCATTGCACTCTGTACACTGAAAAGCAGCTTTACCATGAGTCCGAGTTACGTGTGACGTAAGGACAGCTTCGCTTCCGAACCGAACGCCACAAGTCGAACACAAATGCGATTTCGCTTTATGTTCTTCGTTTATATGTTTTAATAACGTGTTAAAATATGAAAATTTATTCGGACAAGATGGACATTTCATTTCGTATTTGACTAATTTAAAAGCTTGTATTGCACCAGTTACACTTCTGTCACATTTAACGTGATGTGCCACAATCAAATGATCAATCAATTTATCCAAGTCTTCTAAATTTTCATTACATACTCTACAAGACAATGAAGAAATGTCTACGGTAGCGCGTGAAGTGAATTTCTTGAGAATTTCTGATAGACTACCCTCAATTTCCGCAAAGGAGTGAACGGAAATGGTATGCTCCCTCATCTCTTCGTGCTCTAAGAAGGTTTTTGAACAGTAGAAACAGGTAAATCGATTCTGATAGTATTTAAAAGGCATTGCAGTGGACATTTTTATAATGCACGCGAGATTTTTCCGGTTCATTTTTATCATCTGACGACGAGAAATACCAAGAGATTTAGAAGATTTATCATGTTTACCGGTATACCGTCTTCTATTATTTCCCTTCTTTAACTGACGGCTTTCTAGAAATTTCGACGGAAGACCTTTAGAATATTTTGTATTAAGACGCGTCTGTTTAGCTGGCGTTTCCCAAGTTTCACTTTGTCGAAAATCTTTAACGGGCGAAGATCTTTGTGAATGCTTGGTATAAACATGCGAAATCAAATCTTCGATACAATCCAACTTTTTGTCACATAATGCGCATTTTAGATCTTTTAAATTGTATCCCCCTGCAGAAATATCTACCTCCTTATCGATATCGAATTTGTGTTCATCGATTAAATGATCAATTACAGCGGATAAATCATCGAATGACCTCTCGCACAGTTCACATATTAGATTAGATAAATCGAATTTCGGTTCTCCGAAATATTGCAAGTGTTCTTTAAATGATTTTGTGGGATCACACTTTAAAGAAACATCCTGTATATCATAAGGCCTGTGTGACTTTGTGTGTTCGTAAAGTTCTTTATATTGAACAAATTTTAAACCGCAGTAGAAGCAGATGTAGTTTCCACACCATTTAAACGGTATAATCGTTGTATTATTAAACAGAATTGCCAAAATTCTTCTCCTACGCATCACAGTCTCTTCGGCGATTGCCTCGTGATTTTGTTCTGTAAAGAAATTATCATCCTATCAGTTCGCGGATATGGCACTTAAATTAATAATACTGATTTATATTTGGTGAGTTTTCGCATGTTTCAGTTACAATTGTAATGTGGTGACGTGTTTACTATGTCGAGTCATGTGGGTGCGCAGACTTTTCCTCCAGTAAAACCGTTCACCGCATATGTCACAGTTGAAATTTTTCTCACCACTGTGCTTCACCATATGCCTCCTCAAGAGAATATTGTTAAAGAACTTCATGTTACAAATCGTACACTCCACGTTCTTCTCCTTCAAATGGGTGCGCCTGACGTGGTCCCGCATGAAAGAGTTCCGAGTGAACAGTTTGCCGCAGTAGGAACACTTGTGACCAGATTCGTGGGCGTCGATCAGATGTTTTTGCCGCAAATACTGCGTGGCAAACGATTCAGGACACTTCGGACACTTCGCCGCTTTTACACCGTGAACTTTAGCCATATGCATATACAAGCGGGAAGGTATATTGCATTCGGCGCCGCAAATATTACATTTAAACCTACCGTCTCTATGGTGCCGCCATATGTGGACTCTAAGATTTTGATCGCGTCTGAAAGTTTGTCCGCAGTACACGCAAATTATATTATTGTTTGTATGTCTGTTATTCATATGTTTGAGTAGTGTGCCGAAAAACCTGAAAACCTCATTGGGACAAACTGGACACGCCATATGGTCTTTAATTAGTTTGTAGGGTTGTAAGCATGTCGTTATAGATTTATCATAATTAGCATTGTGCTTATCTATTAAATGGTCTATCAGAAGATCTAATTCGCTAATGGACTGGAAACAAACCTTACAAGCCAGCGTCGATATGTCGATTTTAACGCACGCCACCGATTCCCTACATTTCCTAATACATTTCTGCTTTACGTCGCACACAGGATGTTCTACGACCGTGTGATCCCGCATTGAATCGGAGTCTGCGAAATCTTTCGAGCAATAGAAACAATTAAATTTGTTTTTGTAAAAATTAAAAGGTATCGCCGTAGACATATTAATGACTGTGACAATGTTCTCCCTGATTTGTTTCACGCTAGGTCTCTTCACCAGATCTTCATAGCTGTCATCTACATCCATAGCCTCATAGCCCTCTCTTTTAATGCCTATTTCCAATACTTCCTCAACACCTTTACACTTCCTTGTATGCATTTTCAAGCCTTGTTTTGTGTGAAACTCCTTGCAACAATTATCACATTTTAGGGAACCGTCATCCGGGTGCTCCAGATCCATATGTTTCTGTTTAAGCGCCGCTGAAGGTAGTTTCAACAGACAAATGTTACACCTCGTCAAATGTCGATTATTTCTATGTTTCCTTAGAATATTTAAGGAGGTAAATTTCTGGGGGCATAAATCGCATCTATACCCGCCCTCTCTGTGATAGTTTTTCATATGCGAGAATAGGTCTCTCTTCTTATTGAATTTTTGGCTGCAATTGTCACATATCAGGCAATTCTTTGGATGATTATTGTTTACGTGTGATACCAAATAACCGAAATAGGAAAATTTTTCGTCGCACGACAGGCATTTTAGATCTGCTAATTGGTATTCCTCTATAGCCATTTCGACGTCTTTGTCGTATTCCAGCTTATGCTTTACATTGAGGTGATTTACCACCTCAGCGATCGTTGGGAACGGTTCGTCGCATACGTGGCATCTTATATCTGATATGTCAATTTTAATTTCCATATTTTGGCCACCTTTAAGGACTTTTAGGGAATGGTCTCCGATTGAGCAGCTGCCGTGAGACTTCGTATGCTTCCGAAGCTCAATGTATTCAGTTATATCTTTACTACAATAGAAGCAGAGATATTTCCCTCGCCATTTGAACGGTATCACTGAGGTATTGTTGAATAGAATTTGTAGATTTTTCCGTCTGCGCATCGATGACGATTCACAGCCTTTGAGTTTCCGGGGTTTTACATCTGAAATTTGAATTCTCAACTGTAAATGTACCCTAATTTCGGTCAAATATAAACATCTAAAATGGAAAAATTGTAAAACATATCTCGAAACATTTAACATTCTAACATATTTTTAGGATTTAGGGTACATTTAAAGTTTAAAATTGTGATTCCGCAACAGCTAGTCACGAACTTCAAACCAATCTTAAGTTCGTATAATCGTAAGTTTTCTTTCAATGAAAAAAGAAAGGCATTTCCATTGTGTTATCCAATTTCATGTTTAAATAATGTTTACAGTATATTTCATATCTGGAAGTGTGTTACACAACAGAGATTTTAATAAATATATTCGATTTATATACATTACGAAGGCTAAATATATAAAAAAGCGTAGAGAATAATTTAGTATGGTCTCATTCAAAGTCACAGACAATGTTAAAAAGAAAATGGACTTTAAAAGAGAAACAGCTAACGTAAAATCAAACTCATTATTAAACTTACTAAATACATAATAGAGAAGTTGCAGTTAAAATATTTTTACCGCAAATTTATATTTATATGAAAGAATAACTGATTTAAAATATACTTAAATATTTTTCTTTATTAACAATTCCATTTTTTTAAGAATTATTAATAAAAAATAGTTAAATATTGGAATGAAAAAAAAAAACGCCCAAGTGCGAGTCGGACTCGCGCACCGAGGCGAGGGTTCCGAACAAATCCGTAGGTAAGTTATATAAGTTTAAATTTATTAAAAATATTTTTATTATATGATCTAACTAAAAATTTAAGCGTTTCGCAATTTTTCCTTTATCTGTACTAAAAAAAAAAAAAAACATTGCTTCATACAAAATTTCAAGATTCTGAGTTCACGGGAAGTACCCTGTAGGTTTTGATTCCCTTGCGAATGTCGAAAATTTGCGCCATAAACGGCTGTATCTTTTGATTGCGTTGGCTTAGAAGTTTGATTTTTTCACAGCTCCAAGGGACAGTAGACTTAAGTATTTGATATGAATTTCAGGTTGATACCTCCACGCGTTCCTGAGAAAAAGGGTCTTGACAGACAGACAGACAGACGGAGAACAAAGTGATCCTATAAGAGTTCCGTTTTTTCCTTTTGAGGTACGGAACCCTAAAAAGACATGTGACTAGTTGTAACGGTATATCCGTTAAGGCTATTAGCCAATCGCAATCATGCTATACTTTTCTATTTTCTATATTCGGATCACCATGTGTCAATCAATACAGCACATATAACCTGTATTATGCAATGACAATTTTTTAATTTTGACAACATAAACCTGAATATTTATCATTTCACCATGCGGTGGCGTTATTAAAGCGATATAATGACGTCACTGTCGTTTGAATTTACAATTTAGAAAAATCATTTTTAAGTGTAAAATTACATGAAAAATTAAGTTTTAATTTTTGCTTTCTTAATAATATTTAGTAAACTCAAAAAAAAATTAAAAAACATGCAACTTCTCTATTAGTAGACAATAAGTCTTTGAAACGATTTATTTGAGATAATATTATAATTTTAAGGTTACACCTTAAGTACTAGTAGTAGATTTAATTTTAATCGATTTTGTTTTCAAATATCTAGTAGGTAGAAAGCCACGTATTCCTGGTTAGGAGCCTGTTTGGGTTGGAACTATCCTCTTGCCTATGTTCGCAAGCGACAGGAGCTTTCCGATTTGAAAGACAGGTGTCCCTGGGCTGCTTTAGCCACTTACCATCAGAAGAACTGTTAATTCGCAAGTGACTATCATATTTTTTTATACGATAAGGGTGACAAACGAGCACATAGTCCACCTGATGGTAAGTGGTTGCTGTGGCCCATAGACATCTACATCTATCCTCGTATGCGAATCAAAATACAGATTAGTTGATACCCCTGAGGACTAAGATGGAATGTCTCGTTTCCAGTAAAAAAGGTTGTCCAGGTTTCTTCACTCACTGTGAGTGTGGTCCTTCTCCGGTCGAGCCGACCCAGTCGTGCTACAACTATACTACTAATATAACTGCAGCATGGCTCCACCACGTAAAAAAAAATTAATTGACCGTATTGCTTGTTTGTTAATAAATTACGATCAAATAAAATTTAGCTTTTGTTTTACAGTTTAATTTGTAAAATGGAATGCAGTCTACATTTTTTTTAAAAATAATTTAGAAATATTTTAGATACTAATATATTCAGACTATTCCAACACTTAAAATGTATTACTCGTACCTTTAAGGAGTGGGATTATAAACGGCGTTGTTTCTATTTACTTGTAGCTAGTACACTGACGTAGTATATATTCACACCGCAAAGGTTACAGATGCGTTGTCACCACTGAGGACTAAGATGAAACGCCTCACAGCTTGTAACTATACTGGCCCTATATACCCCCTTCAGACTGTAACACCCAAATAGCAATATAAGCACTGATATTTGACGGCAGAGATAGGTAAGAGGATAGCACCTACTACTAAAAGGCGTCCTACCAGTATCTATGATTAAATTACGAAAAAAAATTTTTTTTTGTAAACTGTTTCGCCTCGACTTCCTGCCGATTGACCTCGCTAATTTTTTTTTGTACAGTATAGGGTGTCAAAGGAGCACACAGTCCACCTGATTGTAAGTGGATACTGTGACCCATAGACGTCTACATTTATCCTCTACTAAGAATCTAAATGCAGATGCGTTGTCACCCGTGAGGACTAAGATGAAAAGCCTCCTCTCCAGTAAAAAAGTGTCTCCGGTTCTCTACACTCACCATACGAAACACAGCAGTGTTAAGCTGCTATTTTATGCTGGTATTCTGTGCGAGCGTTGTCCTACCCTCGTCGGGCCGACCCATTCGTGCTACAACTATACTACTAATATAGCTGTAGCATGGTTCGACCACGTATTGATATAATAATGTCCTCCAGACCGAATTTCGACTAACTATCTGTGCAGGACAAGATTATAGTGCTAGTCCATTGAGACTGGCTACCATGACCAAAATTCGGTCTGGAAGACATTATTAGTTGAGTGTGAGGCTACAACGTTGCGTGTCACGAATTTTACTCAACAACTACATTTGTACGGCCTACAAATAATTGTTTAGGGTCTGGAATAATTTAAGCGTCCACGTCAGGGTGGTATACCCTTATATGTAACTTAAGACTGTTATTTTGGACAAACGCCTGACCGCATACACCACAAACGTATCTCCTATCATTATTATGTATCCTCATATGATCCCGAAGAGTCTGTTTCCTAGCGTAAGACTTCTTGCAGATCTCGCACTGATGTATCCGCTCTCCGACGTGTTTCACCATGTGCTTTTGTACGTGGCTCTTGGAAAAAAACTTCTGGTCGCACATCGTGCACGCGAAATTCTTCTCCCTCAGATGGACCTCTTTCATGTGGACTTGCATTTTACTCATTATTTGGAATGTCTTGCCGCACATTGGGCAACAGATTGCCGGCATGTCCACATTGTGGGCTGCATTATGGTGTTTCTTTCTTAGACTATAATTTCCAAACGTCTCTGTACAGTACTGACATTTAATTAGCTTTTTCTTGTTGTGCGTTTTGTATTCATGATTGATCTTTTGCGTGAGCGAGTCGAATATATCGACGCAGTATCTACAACGAAAACTTAAGCCGTGGCTCAACGTATGACACCGGAGACGATCCTGACTGAGGAAAGATTTGCCGCACAACTCGCAAATGTAATTTTCGTAATGCTCGTTCATATGTTGGTTCAGTTTGATGAAGTATTGGAAGTTCACTTTACAAATAGCGCATTGGAACTTGTCCGGTTCCAGCTTGTACGGTATTACACCGTACTCGCACTCCTCACTGAATGTCTTTTTGTGTACAGATTTAAGGTGATCTATAAGACTGTTCAGATCTTCAAAATTTGAGCCGCATACGACACAAACAGTTGTTGATACATCTATTTTAACCTTTTCGTCCCTTCTTAAGTATAAAACGGCAGATTTTACTCTGGGCTCTATATGTGCGGTCTTAGTATGCTCCTTGAGGAGCCCCGTATCTTTGAAAGTGCGATGGCAATAGAAGCAGAGATAGTTCTGCCTGTGCCATTTGAAGGGCATCACGGACGAAGATTCTAGAATAATGATTGCGTTCCTTTTCATGAGGCGGTGACGTTTCGTGGCCGACATTGAGGACTTACTCACTGCCTCGGCAGCCGTCTCTAGGCGTTTCTCACCTAAAACGGTAAATTAATATATAATCGTCGCCTCTAGTCTTCCTATAGCAATTAACTCAAATTTAGTTTATATTTGTCATCACTATAAGACCATATCGGGATATGGAATATATCAAATAGTGAAGTAAAGTATTTTTAAATATATTATTTCTCGGAAACAGAAAATTTTTAATTAGATAATATAACATACTTGTAATATACCTATATTTTACATGCTTTATATTACCGTGACCATAATAATAATAATAATAACTTGCCGACGTCTGCCTTACCGCCCGAAAACAATCTGAGCGTCTTTAAAGCAAGAGTGAATAGACTTATGCTACGCTAAAACAGTGTAATTTACCATACAATAGGACTTCATCACAACTTAACACCAGGTGGGATTTTAGTCGAGCACTGGCTTATAATAAGTAAAAAAAAAATGGAATTAAAGCCCCAGTTTCAGAACTTATGTGTAAATTATTATTTTTTTAGTTTTGAAGTACGTTTGTAATTTTTACTAAAGATATATTATTATTGTGCTATTTTTAATGGTCTAAAGACTAAAGAATATCCCAATACAAGCTAACAACTAGAATGTTTTGTAAATTAAAATCATTAAAATCGTCCCCTATTTTATCCCCCTTTAGAAGAGACCATTCCCAAAGTATAGACTATTTATTAAAATAAGAATAATTTAAATAGGTTCAGCCATTTTTGATATATCGGTAAGTAAATACATTAAAAAAATGATTATTCAAATTCGCTCGTTTTAATTAGTTTTGCGTCGATTTTACTCATTTTTTATTGCAAAAAGTGACAAACGAGCACACAGTCCACCTGATTGTAAGTGGATACTGTGGCCCATAGACATGTACATCTATTCTCGTATAAGAATCAAAATGCAGATGCGTTGCCACTACTAAAGGAATAAGATGGAATACCTCGTTTCCAGTAAAAAGGGTCTCCGGTTCTCTACACTCACCATATGAAACACAGCAGCATTGAGCTGCTATTTTACGCTGGTATTCTGTGAAAACGTGGTACTTCCCCAGTCGAGCCGACGCATACGTGCTACAACCATAGCTCCTATTACATTTGAGGTGACAAGATGAACACGCAATATCCATATGCAGAACCAGAAACAACTACATCTATCCCGAAGATGTAAAGAACGAAGAAGATATTTTTCGCCCTATAGCTACAGCCACCAATACTCGTGACCACGTGAACCAAACCAACATATCGTGAGCAAATCACAAACAGAAGTTATAAAGAAGATATCACGATCAAAATTGACCAGGAAATCTTTTCCACTTTTGTAGATTGAAATAGTGTATTGTGAATTAAAGTAGGTTTATTGAAAGATATTGGCAAGAAAGTTTTATCGGCAAGCTACCGAGATCGCGGTAAAGCTTGCCCGTCGATATATAAGGGGCACCATTAAGTATCATGCTGTCTCTATCACTTTAAGTCAAACTTAGTGCGACACCACGAGATATAACGGCATCTTAAAATTGGGTAGTGTTTGAGTATTTGGGCATTAAGGCCTGTTTTCACTTTGATTAGTGATTAGTGCAGGTGATTAGTACAAGTGCTTAGTGTTTAGGAGTAAACACGTGTGGACAGCGATTGATTAGTGCAAGTGATTAATAACCTGTGTAGTAAAGTGATTAGAAGCGTGTTCTATTTTTTTGCGAGTGGATTCCGAGTGTCACGCCCCGCGCGCCCTTCCTTTCCCCTCACTCGCAGCATGCCTGCCACTAAACACGTTTGGACAGCAGTGCTAAGTGTTTAGCGTTTAGCGTCGGACGCTCACTTCTGTTAAAAAAATGTCCATACTTCCTGGTGGACTGCTAACAACTGAATTTACTCAACACAACCACTTAACAGAATTGGACACTACTTACACTACACACCTGCACTAATCAACCGCAATTACTAATCACCTGCACTCGCACTAATCAAAGTGAAAACAGGCCTTTAGAGATATTGTGTGACATAAATCAAACTTAGGGAGGATCTACCCTCTTTTTTTAATTTAAAAACGAAACCTACCAAAAACGAAATATATCAAATGGTCTAATTAAATAAGACTAATATTGGTAATGTAGCGGCGCTGTAGTCGCGCCACAAGCGAAACACACCGAAGCCTAAATCACGTTATCAAAGTTCTTTTTTTTATAGGATAACGGTGACAAACGAGCACACAGTCCACCTGATGGTAAATAGTTGCTGCGGCCCATAGACATCTACATCTATCCTCTATTACAAATCAAAATGTAGATGCGTTGTCACCCGTGAGGACTAAGATGGAATGCCTCATTTCCAGTAAAAAGTTCCGAAATACTGTGTTATACATGTAGAATAGCTCTGTAATAACACGTGGAGCGTTGGCCGCCCCCCGAGCTGAACACCTTGCCCGGTAGGAGATCTCTCCTTTTACTTCCACGGTTTTACGTTCATCAGATTCTGCCAGATGATCAGTGTCAAAAAGTTTTTTTTCAATGATTCTATCAGCATACTAGAATTTTCTCATATTACGTTCACGGAGGCATTTACATACATAAATCGCACAAGGATAAACATCCAAATCAGTAACGATTAATAATTTCTTATGTTTACGCGACCACAGTACATTTTAAATAAAACTAGTATTTTTTTTTACGGATTTTATGGCATATGTAACTTATTTTGCTGACCATGGGTGCTATAGATATAAAGCACTCGAAACGTCGGGGATATTAAATAAACCTAGCAAGCTAACAGCATAGCAAAGTGGCGAGGCAATCAGCTTTGTAGCGGTTTCTAACGGTTGCCGTTGAGCAATCAGTTTCAAAATAGGAGGTTCAGATGCCTGGGTGATCAGTAATCGATTGCTGAAAACAGAATTTGAAAATTCAAAACCGTTCTCGAGATAATCGTGGGACAGACGGACAGATATCGTGAAATCAATAAGTGATTTCGCAAGCTTCGCCACTTAATAAGTTAATTTACGCGATAAAATCCGGCAAAACTAGTTTTATTTAAATTTTAAACAGTAACGACAATGTTTAGGCCATACAAAAAATTGATTCGTGTGGGATTCGGACCGACGTCTCTCAGTGCCCAAACTCTTTAACCACTGCGCCACGGAGCTGTCAATTATTTAAATGTTTCCTTTCAAATAAAGTTCTTTGGTTTCTAGTTGTCTCTACATAGTATAAAATAAAGTCGCTTCCCGCCGTTTGTACGCTTAAATCTTTTAAACTAACGCAACGGATTTTGTTGCGGTTCTCATCAATAGACAGAATGATTCAAGACGAAGGTTTATAATACATGCATATTATATAATCTTCTATCCGTGTGTATGTGAGTGAACTCCTCCTAAACAGCTGGACCGATATTGATAAAATTTTGTGTGTGATTAAGTTGATTAGAGAATGGTTTAGATTCACAATTTGACCCGGTAGGTGGCGTTGTTGTCGAGATCGAGAAATCAAAAGTGTGAAGCCGACCGGATCGCTAATATATGTACATACACAAAACAATTATTCAATGGTGTGCTTTTTAATAAATTTTAGACATTATCGACCTTTTGTTGTTCTTCTAATTTTATTAGTTAATTATATCAGTCGTTTGGTCGATCCGTTTCTATTTTTTTTTTATAGAATATGGGTGACAAACAAACACACAGTCCACCTGTTGGTAAGTGGATGCTTTGGCCCGTAGATATCTACATCTATCCTCTATTAAGAATCAAAATTCAGATGCGTTGTCACCCCTGAGGACTAAGATAGAATGCCTCATTTCAAGTAAAAAAGGTCTCCAGTTCTCTACACTCACCATACGAAACACAGCAGCATTAAGTTGCTATTTTACGCTGGTATTCTGTGAGAGCGTGGTCCTTCCCCGATCGAGCCAACCCATTCGTGCTGCAACCACAATATAGCTGCAGCCTGACTCTACCAATTATTCTTCTGACCTAATTAATACAAAATATAACTAATATTTCAGAAATAACCATTTAATCTTTACACTATTGTAGCAATTTAAATTTCTCACCATGCTATCTGTCAAATATTTTACCTTATTCTATCACATAATGACAGTGTAAGAATATCCACTACCCCATATCGTCCCGTGGGTGTCGTAAGAGGCGACAGTGGGAAACTGAAACATTAGATGGACAGAAGCACCTTCCTGATAAATTACTCAAAATAATAAAAAACGCAGTTTTTTTATAGAATAATGGTGACTATCGAGCACATAGTCCACCCAATGGTAAGTGGTTGCTGTGACCCATAGACATCCACATCTATCCTCAATAAAGAATCAAAATACAGATGCGTTGTCACCCGTGAGGACTAAGATAGAATGCCACTTTCCCAGTAAAAAGGGTCTCCGGTTTTCTTACACTCACCATACGAAAAACAGCAGCATTAAGCTGCTATTTTACGCTGGTATTCTGTGACAGCGTGGTCCTACCCCGGTCGAGCCGACCCATTCGTGCTACAGCTATATTATTAATATAGCTGAGGAATGACTCTACCACGTATAAAACCTCACTGGTTGTGTCAACCCTCCCGCCAAACAACTATGGCAAAATCTCTTATGAGGCAACCTATGTTCAGCAGTGGAGTCTTGTGCGCTGTAATGGATTTCAAGGTGGCGCCACCCTGGTAGCAGAAAATGTTATAAAAGCCAATATTTATTATTAATTGGCGAATCATCTCTATGTCACAGCCTAAAAAACATACAGTCAGTCATCGCGTTTGATGTTGTCGGAAAAGGCGACATAAACAATAAATTGCTAAGGTTGTTAGAACGGGAAGAAGGCAGACACTAGCTAGGAGTACATAAACTTAAAAACAATATACTTTCCTATTAATTGAATTTTTTTAGAAGTTTCCGACGGTGTTTGATAAATATCTTTTTAACAGGCAGATTTAACTCCATACATTTAAAGCTTATTTTCCACTATTGATACGAATATTCTACTATAATTGTAGAGCACAATATAGATTTAAAAAAATTTAAAATTTAAATGATAAAGTTTGTGTGTGAAGGATGAGGGATATATTATGTCTCGTTCTAGTGTATGCAGAACCCTTATTCTTCTGTTTCCAACTGTTTACAAAGCACAACATAGTGTCAAGGTCACTCCTTAAACATCAATTTATCATTTTAGTGGTGGTGTAAGAATATGCACTAAGCAATATCGTACCGTGGATGTCAAAAGAGACGACAGAGAGAAACCAAGAGATAGGCAAACTGCAGTTGCTAACCAGCCTGCCAAGCCTGAGCCTGCCAATGAGCCAATTTAGTGGGGAGGCCTACGTTCAGCAGTGGACATTGATAAGCTATAATAATTTAGGACGAAAATTTAGTTTGATGACGCAAGCTGTATAGGGGGATACTTCATCACAAACTATCTATAAATGTAATAAACATTAAAAAAACACACAATGAACCTACCTTTAGAAACAGCTTTAGAAGTCTTGGGTTTCTCATCTGATTTTGTTACTTTGGCCTTCTTATCGCTTTTGACAACTACAGCATTCTTCCTCGGCCGTCCTCGTTTGCCTTTTACCGGTAAAGTGGTTACAGTTATGTCCTCGGTTACTTGTTCTATTGATTCATCTTCTTTTGGGAGATCATCTGCAAAGTACAGTCAATGCCACAATTATATATCAATTTATTGAAAATTAAAAAACCGGCCAAGTGCGAGTCGGACTCGCGCACCGAGGGTTCCGAACAAATCCGTACATATAAGTTTAAAATTATTTAAAATATTTTTATTATATGATGTAACTAAAAATTTATGCTTTTCGCAATTTTTCCTTTATCTGTGCTAAAACGTTGCTTCGTACCAAATTTCAAGATTCTGAGTTCACGGGAAGTACCCTGTAGGTTTTGATTTCCTTGCGAATGTCGAAAATTTGCGGCATAAACGGCTGTATCTTTTGATTGCGTTGGCTTAGAATTTTGATTTTTACACAGCTTCAAGGGACAGTAGACTTGAGTATTTGATATTATTAATTTCAGCTTGATACCTCCACGCGTTCCTGAGAAATAAGGTCTTGACTGACAGACAGACAGACAAAAAAGTGATCCTATAAGGGTTCCGTTTTTTCCTTTTGAGGTACGGAACCCTAAAAACATCCACTCATCTATAAAGAGCCTGTAAAAATCCACTGCTGAACATAGGCTTCCCCATTATGTTGACTAATTTAGGGAATTTTACCATAGTTGCCATGTTTGGCAGGCGGGCTGGAGAGCATATTTTTTAATTTTAAGTTGTTATCAGGAATATGCTGTTGTCCATCTCCTATTTCATTTTCCCTCTTTCACCTCTTAAGACACCCACCGGACGATATGGAGTAGTGGATATTCTTACACCACCACTGCACGGCACAAAAGCATACAGCTTCCTTATACATGAAGCTACTGAAGGAGGGCATCCACGACTTTTTCTGCCACCAGGGCGGCGCCACTTAAAAGTGAGGTATAATATTTGACAGTTTTCATAGTAGGGAAGTTGATTTGTTCAAAAAATTTAAAGGTCACTGTTTCTTTCTGTACTATTAGCTATATTTTATATTAATACGATTAAATACAAATAAAATAAACAACAGATTTTCATAAAAGTAGAAAAATTAAAAAAAACGGTAAAAATGTGAAAAAATGAAAGAGCAAACCACTGAGGCATTGTTTTGTGTATTAATATAACATTCTTGAAACTGGTAAACTTTTATTAAAATGCAACTTCTCAATTAAATTACATTAACATAACAAAAAACTTTACCTCACTGTCAAGTAGCGACATCTGGTGAGCAGAAAATTACTAGCCCTCTTTGACATAACATACCATCCCTAGTGCCCTGATTGTAGAGAGAGATTTAACGCCAAATTATATATCTGTTTGTTTTACAAGGACTGACTGCAGGTAAAACACCTGATATTAAAAATTAAAAAATACTTTGTGAAAATTAAATCAATACACTATCTCTGTGATAAAAGACAATGATGACGTGGATTTTTTTCTCCAGAAAACTATGTAAATTTGAATTGTCTCGTTTATAAACATAACATATAACTGTATCTAATAAATCTTTATACATAAAAACTAGCTGTGCCCCGCGACTTCGCCCGCGTGGAATTTACTACGTTTTCATGGATATCAATTTTTTTGCGCGGAACCCTAATTTTATTTTTGAGTAATGTTACCATCGTATAAATATTGAAAAATATTGACATTAATATTTATACTTAAACTTTATAGTATGGTATTAAAGTTCTAATTGACTTTTTTTATTCAATATTGATTATTACATAATACTTATTGAAAGTCATTTTTTTATTTACCACTGGTTCGGAAAATACCTCTGTCCTGGGAAGAACCAGCATAAAACCCAGAAATATATTACGGATAAGGTGACAAACAAGCACACAGTCCATCTAATGGTAAGTGGTTGCTATGACCCATAGACATCTACATTAATCCCCAATAAAGAATTAAAATGCAGATGCGTCGTTACCCGTGAGGTCTAAGATGGTATGCCTCTTTTCCAGTATAATGGGTCTCCGGTTCTCTACATTCACCATACGAAACACATTACACTTCAATACATCACATACGAAACACAAACATTACGCCGGTATTCTGTGAAAATGGTCCTTCCCCGGTAGAGCCGACCCATTTGTGCTAAAACTATACTACTAATATAGCTGCAACATGGCTCTACCACATATAAATTGCCACAAAACTAGCCCATTTACAAGCTCAGTAATCCATCTGAGTGAGGGTGGTACCTACCCCTCCCCTTCCTTATTCCAGCCGTCAAAAAGCAGCGCTTGCAGTGTTTCTTATCTAAAGGGTATATAAAGAGTCAGTACGATTACAGGCTGCTAGTTTAGTTGTAAAATGCTATAGCTGGTTGCAGGTGTCTATGGACTGCAATAGCTGCTTACCATCAGGTGTACTGTGAACTGTAAGATTATTTGTCACTTAAATTCATCGATCACTAATAAAAAACTAGATACACAATCCCATGTAAAAGTTGCCGTGTAGTGGCGGTTAAGAATATCCACTACCCCATATCTTCCCGTGGGTGTCGTAAAAGGAGATAAAGGGAAACAGACAGGAGATGGGCAGCAACATCTTCCTGATAACATCAAAATTACAATAAAAAAACTGCGGTTGCCAACCCGCTCGCCTAGCGTGGCAACTATGGCAAATACCCCCCTATGATGAGAGTAACAAAGAGACGGCCCCCAGTCCCCGGCGGCCCCGCTATTCCAGGCTACGGTGGCGATCATGGTAACGGCGGGCAGGGGGTGCTAAGAATCTCCAGTGGAGGTTCGGTTGCCACCAAAGACGACTCGACCTGGCAACATACAACGCACGCACCCTGAGGACTGACGAGAAGATTGTGGAGCTGGAAGAAGAGATGGACAAGTTACGCTGGCATATTACAGGATTATCCGAAGTCCGAAGAGAGGGGGAGGACACGGTAATCCTCGAATCCGGCAACTTGCTCTATCACCGGGAGGGCGACCATCTGTCCCAAGGAGGTGTCGGATTTATCGTCCACAAGTCTCTCGTTAACAAAGTTGTAAAGATTGAGAGTGTATCGACGAGGGTTGCGTACCTTATACTCAGAATCACCAAACGGTATTCGCTGAAGGTCATACAGGTTTACGCACCAACCTCAGCACACCCCGATGAGGAGGTGGAGGAAATGTATGAGGATATCTCTAGAGCCATGCATTCCTCCAAAACCCAATATACGGTGTTAATGGGAGACTTCAACGCAAAACTAGGCTTCTACTACTAACTAACTTCATTATGACGACCAGACGACAACTGTTCAGTGATGTCCCCGTGATCGCGAGGGTGAAAGTTGGAGAGGTCTCGTCTAATGAAGTCAACGATCCGTCCCCCTCGTGCTCTGTTCCAAAGTCCCGAAACCTTTCAGCTCGAGTTACAAAACCGTTTTCAGTGCCTAGAAGACTACAATGAAGTGGACGATATGAACGACAAGCTCGTGGAAACTGTCCATGCAGTCGGAGCTAAGTTCTGCAAGACCCGCCGCAGAAGGAAACAAAACTCTCCGATCACACTCTTAATCTCATGGCTGTTAGACGGGAGATGAAGGTACATTCTTCAATAGATTTGACAGCATACATGCAACTGAACAGACAGATTTCCAAATGCATGCGGCGGGACTTACGCAACTTTAATACAGCTTGTATTGAAGAAGCGATCGAGCGGAACCAAGGCTCCAAAATCTTTGCCAGAGATCTGTCTGCTAGAAAGAGCCAACTGTCAAAGCTTAAGACCGAGTGTGGCAGCATCGTTTCCGGGGCACCTGAGATTTTAAGTGAGATTGAGAGGTTGTATGGGCAGCTGTACACGTCATCGTTGGAGCCACGCGCAAATGTGAGTAACGATCAAAGAGCGAGTCTTATCCGACACTATTCCGAAGATATCCCGGACGTCAGTCTGAGCGAGATTAGAATGGCTCTCCAGCACCTTAAAAACGGCAAGGCCCCAGGCGAGGATGGAATTACAGCGGAGCTTCTGAAAGCGGGTGGAAAATCGGTACTTGCAGTCCTTCAGAAGCTCTTTAATTCCGTCCTCCATGGTGGCACTACACCGGAGGCGTGGAGCAGAAGTGCGGTGGTCTTGTTCTTCAAGAAAGGTGACAACGCTCTCTTGAAGAACTACAGACCGATTTCCCTTCTGAGCCGCGTCTACGTGCTGTTTTCGAGTCATTACGAATCGTCTCGCGCGCAGACTTGACGACTTCCAGACTCCCGAACAAGCCGGTTTCCGAAAGGGCTTTAGCACCATAGACCACATACATACCCTTCGGCAAGTTGTACAGAAGTCCGAAGAGTACAATTTGCCACTATGTCTGGCGTATGTGGACTATGAGAAAGCCTTTGATTCCGTCGAAATTTGGGAGGTGCTGCAGTCCCTTCAGTGGTGTCAAGTTGACCGTCGGTATATCGAAGTGCTGAAGTGCTTGTACTACGATGGCTACCCGAGTACAGAACCAGTGTACGAAACCTATCCAATTGCAGAGAGGTGTAAGACAGGGTGACGTTATATCCCCGAAACTCTTCACCGCTGCATTGGAAGACGTTTTCAAGCTTCTGGACTGGAAAGGATACGGTATTAACATCAATGGCGAGTACATCACTCACCTTCGATTTGCCGGACGGATTAGTAAGCTAAAGTGGCAGTGGGCCGGCCACATAGCTCGAAGAACCGACAACCGATGGGGAAGAAAGGTTCTTGAGTGGCAGCCTCGTACCGGTAGGCGAAGTGTAGGGCTAGCCCCCACGAGATGGAGTGACGACCTGGTAAGACATGCAGGAAGTCGATGGATGCAGGTGGCTCAGGACCGTGCTTTGTGGCATTCCTTGGGGGAGGCATATGTTCATCAGTGGACTTATGAAAGTCTGTAATGATGATGCAAAAGTTCTCTAAACACTGCCGCCAATTGTTTTGACGTAATTCTAGTTGAAAAAAATATACATTAATGTAAATTGAACCTTAAGTGCATTGCTTAAAGCTGTATTCACAAAGCTACGTACAAATTAAAAACGCACCCAAATGTTCCAGTGGGCGCTCATTCGGTAAGGACATTTTTTGTCACTGATTATGTATCTAGTTTTTTATTAGTGATCGATGCTTAAATTGAATAAAAATAGCATAATCTTGGGAAATGAATAATATACCACCTTCATATTCTAAATCCGCTTCAAGATACTCCACATCCGGCTCCTCAAGCTGCTGTTGTATTTCCATGTTTGTTTCAGCTTTTACAGGACTTTGATAAACTAATACTGAAATATTTAAAAAAATAATATAATAATAATAATGTCATCCAGACCGAATTTCGGTCACGGCAGCCTCAACAGAGACTTGCTAAGTTCAGTACTAACCGCGCGCTCCTAAGTATACGGTCGTTTACCTACATATTATATCGAATGTCAGAGTTAATGTCCGGTTGACTGTATTATATGACATAATACTTATAATAAACCCAACGACTATATAATAATTTCGAACTAATAATTTATGAATAATCCAATATAATCCAATGTAATCAATATTATTTATGATGAATAATTCCATCTAATAATTTAATCTATTATTATGAATAATGTAATCAATGAACTATTAATTATATTTGACATTTGTATGCCCATGAGGCTGATAACAGTAAAGTAAAGTTTACTGTAAAGTTGCAGCCTATATACGTCCCACTACTGGGCACATGCCTCCTCTCATTTCTGAAAGGGTTTTAGGGCAAGGAAATGTCCGCCGCGCTGCCCCAATGCGTGTTGGCGAACTTCACATGTCTTCGAGATAATTTTTTTTATTTCTCAGACATGCAGGTTTCCTCACGATGTTTTCCTTCACCACCGAGCACGTGGTAAATCAGCACTTAAAATTGCAATTAACAATTTCATTGGTGCCGGCGGGGATCGAACCCGGGTTACTCGCGTACTGTGAAAATTATAGCGAGTGCTAACCATCTGAGCTACCACAGCTGATTACAGACTGAACATTATTTGTGTTTAAATAAGACCTTTTTGTAAACTGTGAATCACAAATAAACTATTTAATTTGATGTATAAACTAAAGTATTGAACATTTAGCTTTTATATGATTATATTTATATGTATAGTCACGTGGTGTAGTGCTGTAAAAAAAAGAAAATGGAAGCGGGCTTTGAAAAAAGACGATCTGTCAAAAGTGGATATTTTTATGGTTGCGCAGTATTTTTCAGAAAATTATGATTTTTTATCATCAGAAATGCGTGGAATAAAGCCTTAAAGGTAAGTTACTAATAAAAGATTTTTTTTTAGGCGAGGGGGCAAACGAGCATGCGGCTCACCTGATGGTAAGTGACTACCGCCGCTCATGAACAACAGCAACACCAGGGGAATTGCAGATGCGTTGCCGGCCTTTTAAAAAGGAGTAGGCTGTTTTCTTGAAGGTCCCTAAGTCGTAACGGTCCTAAAAATCGCTGGTGGTAAATTATTCCACAAGGAAGTTGTGCTAGGAAGAAAACATCTTCTAAATCGCACAGTGGTGGACCGCCAATCATCCAGATGGTGTGGATGGTATCGGGAGTCCTGCCGCGATGTGCGTTCGTGAAATTTGGCGGCTGGGATTAATCCGAACAATTCCTCAGAGCACTCCCCGTGATAAATGCGAGAGAAAATGCAAAGAGATGCAACATATCTTCGCAGCGCCAATGAGTCGAGCCGATCGGAAAGGACTCGGTCGTCGACGATTCGAGCCGCTCTGTGCTGGATGCGCTCAAGTGGAAGGACTTGGCACTGCGGAACCCCAGCCCAGAGATGGGAACAGTATTCCATGTGAGACCGAACCTGCGCCTTGTAAAGTTGCAGGCGTTGTGCCGGCATGAAATACTGTCCCGCTCTGCTGAGCACGTTAAGCTTTTTACAGGCCAATTTGGCCTTTTCTTCCAAGTGACCACGAAACTGCACGTCACTCGATATGTCGACGCCGAGGATTCCAATACTGGCTGAGGCAACAAGGGGAGTACCTTGAAACTGAGGAGATACGACAAAGGGGTTCTTTTTAGCAGTAAACGCGCAAACTTGTGTCTTCTGAGGATTAAACTGGACTAGATTTAGTCGCCCCCAATCCGAGACTTTGTCCAGCAAAGACGACTTCAGACACAAGTTTGTTCCGGTACTCGGCGACGTTTTCCCGAGAAATATTGGCACGGCCGGTGTATAGAACATCACCAGTACTGTCATCTGCATAGCAATGAATGCTACCGATTTGCAACATATCATTGATATGCAGAAGAAACAGCGTTAGTGATCGCACGCAGCCTTGTGGAACACCAGCGTTAATAGGCTTGTAGTCGGAGCATGCACCGTCTACAATAATAATAAAAATATTTATTCATTGACCAAAAGTAATAAAATATTTAAAAGTTAAACTAATACAAAAATGATATTTTTGGAAGGACAATGAAAGGGTTCTGACTCAGCATGTGTTGCAGAGAATCTACAACGCTGTTATTCTGTCAGCACCCGTATACCTACTAAAAAGTAAAAGCTAAAGTATAACAGTACGCGTACATCACTGATTATATTACAAATAGCTTTTAGTGTAAAATTATTTATTTATTCATTAATCCAGTACAAGAACTATTTAATTAATCAGTACAAGTTTTCATATTATTTCTATTAATAAATTGATAATTAATATTCACGACCTTGATGCTCCGATCTGCAAGAAAGCTGGTGACCCAATTGCACAATTTCTTGGGAAGCCCATAGGAAGGGAGCTTCGCAGGAAGCGCTTTGTGCCAAACCCGATCGAGGGCCTTCGCAATGTCCAAACTAACAGCCAATGCCTCCCCCTTGGACTCTACTGCCTCCGCCCATCTATGAGTCAAGTAGATCAGAAGATCACCAGCTGATCGACCCTGACGAAAACCGTATTGGCGGTCACTAATCAGCTGGTGATCCTCAAGGTACCGCATGAGGTGGCAGTTTATAACGGATTCCATTATTTTGGAGAACAAGGGGGTGATGGCGATAGGCCTGTAGTTGGACGAGTCTGAGCGGTCGCCTTTTTTAGGGATCAGGTGGACAAAATCTGTCTTCCATGATTTCGGGACTACGCCTAGGGAGTAGGAGTACTGGAAAAGACGCGTTAGAACCAGTGCCAACTCCGGAGCACACGTTCTCAGCACGATTGGGGGGATTCCGTCAGGCCCACTCGACTTCTGGATATCCAGAGAGAGGAGTGCTCTGCGAACCGAGCGATGTGAGAACCGCACATCCGGCATGGAGCACTCACACCGCGGGATGGTCAGCGGTGTGTTCGCCCCGTCATCAAGTCGAGTTGGACATAAAAAGGGAGCCTAAAAGGTCGGCTTTCTCTTTTGCGGCGTGGGCCAGTGAGTCGTCCTCCCTGTGCAGAGATGGTAGTGATGGCTTACAGAAATTCCCTTGGACAGCCTTGGCGAGAGACCAGAATGCACGGGTTCCCGAAGGAAGGCGAACTAGTTTCTTGCCAATTCTGCTTATGAGACTTTGCCTTGGCAATAACTCTTTTGAAGGACCTGGAGGCAAAGTTACACTTCTTTTTAAATATGTTGGTGTTTACATCCCGAGTCGCCAAAGCCGCAGCCCAGGCTTGATAACACTCCTGCTTACTGCGTAATGCAGTCTTATAGGAGCGACCAAACCAAGGCTGAGATTTGCCTCCGATGGGTACCACAGATGATGGAATAAATAGTTCCATTCCCTGTAGCACCACATTAGTGACAGAGTCAGCAACAGCGCTGGGATCATCCGGCGAGATGCAAACCCGCCCCCATGGGTAGGAAGCAAAGAAAGACTGTATTCCGTCCCAATCCGCCGACCTGTAATGCCACACACGGCGGGGCAACCTGCAGAACACAACCGCGAGGGGAGCGTGAGTGGCCACACTCCGAATCAGACAATGGTCCGAAGAGCCAAGAGGGGCATCGACGGAAACCTGATATCCGTTCGGATGAGAGGTCAGCAGAAGGTCCAACAGGGAAGGTGTATGATCCTCAACGTCTGGAATCCGCGCAGGCTATGTAACCAGTTGTGTCAGACCATATGCCAAGGCAAAGTCATGAACAGATCTCCCCGCATGATCGGTTAAACTTGACTAAAAAGATTACGAAAAGTATACAACTTTACCATTGATTAGTAATTAGGCAGTAATACATAGGTAGGTATTGATTGACCGAACCACGAAGATGCACATGATTTACAGCAACATAAAATGAAAAAGCTTAGTTAAACTTTCTAATGCACTGAGTATTAATTGACTCGTATTGTTATTTAGTACCTAGTGACATGTGAAGAAATTTTGTTGGTTACATAGTTTGTCAGTGGTTGCAAACATATGGTCCTAGTTTTACTTTGACATACTTTAGAATAAACTGATTGAGGTATTACGTTGGTAGTTGGTACCTATTCTGTTTTGAAAATGCAATGGTCGCAAACATTCAGTGCTTGTTATACTAAACTAATTTTGATGAACATCACATTACAGGAAATCTACAGGATTTTATCTTCTCATATCGGACTTTTATTCCCAAGGATATAACCAGGGCTCGGAACCGGTTTAAAAAGAGCGGTTAATTTCGATTAATTACCGGTAAATTTATCGCTCTTTCAATTACCGGTTAAAAAATTAACCGGTTTTTACAAAACCTAAACGATAAAGGTTACCGGTTACTTAATGGTTTTGACACCCAAATTAACCGGTTAATTCCGTAAAACGTAAAGGCAGTTATGAATAGGACAGGTAGATTCACGTTGTGAGGTGCTTATTGTTGAGGTGCATCGCCGCATGCGGGCATACTTATCATCAATTATCTGCCTTTAAGCGATACGTTTTTTCAGTCGCGATCAGGGTGTGAAAGTATTAGAGAAGTTTTGAAGAAAGAATGGCAGTTGTTGTGTTTGGTTTATTCGCTAAGACTGGACTTGTCTTATAACGAAGAAAATATATTTATTCTTGTGTATCGGTTGTTTATTTATGGGCAGAAAAAAGTAAATAGAATTTATTCCATATTTTCGTTTTAATAGTGGTACGAGTAGAGCCACGCGGCAGCTTTTGCTATCGCATGCATGGGCCAGCTCGAACCAGGGTAGTACCACGACCACAAAGAATACCAACGTGAAGTAGAAGTTTACTTCGTTTCCCTTGGTAAGTGTAGGTGGTTCGAGGCCCAATCCCCCCCCCCGTAAAGTATGGTAGTGGAATCAAACAAAAAACTACCCCAGGAGGGTACCAGCATCCTGGT